CTCATCTCAAATTTATGATCCATCATTCGATTCTTCCATGATGTTATGCGGTGAACAAGATCGTAACAGCTCTATGAATCAATAACAGATCCAAATAGAGCATCCTTCAAAGATCATGTTGAAATCTTTTAAGTGATACCTTTTAAGTTATTTATGTCATTCCCTCACATCATTCTGAAAGCAAACAATATGACCAAATTTCACGAAACAGGTAGCACTGTTTTATCACGTGTGGTGCTAATCAATGGATGCATTCAGATACAATCAGATGCGATCGGTTCTGAGCAAGAATATTAAACCCCAACTGGATCATAATGTTTGTTTTGATTATTACTTTATAGATAACTTGTTTTGAAATAATCACAGCTGATATCAAATTATACTGAACTTGATAAAGTATTGTCATAGTATTCCTTCTGTTTATCTTCGGCAAAACGATTATGAATGAATTCGTGCAAATTGATCAACTGCTTATTCACTGCGAATGATGCAGTTGGTTGCAACCACAAAAAATGATCCGCTTCAGAAGTTTTTCTTTTTTCCTCTTATCGACTTATCCTTATTCGAATCGTATTCCGTCACAAACGCGCATTCGTTCGATACTTTCTCCCATATCGGTCTATCCATTCAAGAACAGTTATAAAGTATCACTACAAAATTTCATCTCAGTCAGATCAACTTATCCAGTAAACAGTTTATCTTCAAAGAGCTAATGATAACAATAATAGTAATAACAATCTCAATACAAAGTTGAGTTGGATCATTATGCAAAAAGAATGCCTTTTTTGTTGAATGAAGAATATTTCAGGTGATAACAAATAAATCAAGCGATACAGTTGGTGCAGTAGCATTAGATCATGAAGGGCGTTTGGCATGTGCTGCGTCTACTGGAGGACTCACTGCCAAAGAGTCTGGTCGTGTTAGTGATTCCAGTATTGTTGGTATGTTTATTTCTGTTTAATAGCTGGTATGAAATGAGGCTGAAATATTTACGGCAACGAACATTTTACTTCTTCACTGCAATTATGTTATCATTATTATTATATTATCATTATCATTGCTCTAACAGACTTCACAATGTGAAGATTAAACTGATGATATGTTCTTTAAAGTGCGTCAGTTTAAAGTGCTTAAGAAATTAACAATAATCTTAGCGATTTGTTCATTTATTTGCACGATTCGTGAATGTGAGTAAGGAGGTAAATTTGGTAAAATAGAATCTATGTCGTCAACAATTATTTGTTTCACAAAGAATATGTGTGCATAAAATTGTTGATTCATTGTTGAAACGTTCAAGGCGCTGGTTTTTATGCGGATCGAGAGATCGCAGTGAGTGGAACTGGGAATGGGGACGAGTTCATTCGAATTTCGGCTGCGAAGTGAGTTGATGGATTGATGGACTGTTTGTTATGCTCACAATCAGAAATTTTTATTTCTTCATTATATGTGGTGTATGTCTAAGGTGGACAGCTTACCATCTGCGTTCAATTGTAATTAAATAATTTTCGAAGTCGGTCTAGGATGCACTGAAGTGCGCATATGTTGAGCGTTGAAGATACGAACAACTAGCATTAAGTCAGATGTTCAAATTCGTGCTATGAAATTCAATCTTGGTACTGCTTGAGATGAACGAATCTATAGAAGTTTATAGGTATCGATTAGAAGTAGTGTTGAAATTGTTCATTGAAAATTTGGGATAGTTGTTTTCAATTTGGTTCCGTATTTTGCCGCAGAATCGTTTTGTTGTGAGTATAAATAGACTGGTCAAAGACTCATTTTAAATACAATAGATGATTCATAAGAACGTGATATTGGACATTTATCTATGCAGAATTTCATCACGACTCAATGTGAATAGTGTTATAAGACTGAATTGATTAATCTAGGTCATTCAAACTGGTGTTATTATAGGAAACAGCATCACTTAATCAAATAGCTCGCTTCCACAGATCATAATCATCTGTACGGCACGAAACCTTAGACTATTTTCAGGCAAATAGCTGATTTGGTGAAATATTCCAAAATGACTTTATCACAAGCATGTAATCAGGTTGTACTTATTGATTTAAAGCAAACGATGGCCGGCTTCATAGGACTCGATAAGGACGGTAATATTGCTATGCCCTTTAACACGCCAGGCATGTTCAGGGCTGTACTGCTCGAAAACAGCAAACCTGTTGTCAACATTTATGAATAAATGCTTCTTCAGTGAAACCTCTCTGCCATTAATTCAACAATCAATTTATGACAGGAATCATTCTCTGC